CAGGCTCTTTTTGCTGTGACCCCCCCCCAGCCTCACCCAGCCTCCATCATAGCACAGAGATGTTTAGCACACTGAAGGAGACCTCCAGACACAAAAGAATCCTCCCACATGGGTCATGTTCTATGCTATACCACTGTCCATTCCCCAGTAGATAATTAAAAAAAAAAAAAAAAAAAAAAAAAAAAAAACCACCTTCATAAAGGGTCAGCAGACAGAGTTAGAGTAATGGCTATGTCGCTGGACTCCCACGTAGTCGACCGCGGGTCACATCCCGGACCTGGTGGCTTAGAACTCACGCCGGGCATGTGTGCGTGCATGCCCAAGATCCCAAGAGGAGAATGGAGAAGAAGGGATTGAGGCGTGAAATCCCCCCTGGGGGGTGATTTCTCACTTTCTATCTCTATGTCTCTCTCTGTCTGTCTGGCGAGTGCACATGCCCTATAGCAAAAACCTCTCCAAAAAAAAAAAAGGGTCAGCAGACGGTGTAGTGGTTACATTGCTGTACTCCAACATGGTCAACCACAGTTAAAGTCCTGGACCTGGTGGCTTGAAAATCATTCATGCCAGGTACATGTGCATGCATGCCCAAGATCCCAGGAGGAGAATGGAGGAGAAGGTATTGTGATGTGGCCATCCTTGCTGGGGAGAGAGTTCTCACTTTCCCTCTCACAGTCTCAGCCTCTCTCTCCAGCAAGTGCACATGCCCTATGGCTAAACCTCAAAAAAAAAATTTTATAAGCCCCCAAAGTCTTACACAGTACCTTGGACACATGCTGAATAACTTCAATGAGCATCACATTTTCCAACATGATCCACATAAAGAAAAAATTGTTAAGGCCCTTATTAAAATACTAAAAATCCAGTCATCTACTTTGATCACTCAAACAGTAGATGAGGAATGTCTAGAAAACTCAAAAAGCACAGAGTAATCAAAGAAAACAGATTCCAGAATTCACAGAGAAGGGAGATTCACCCAATGCCAGGAATCTTCTCAAATCATGAGCATGCAAAGATACATAGAGCAAAGAAAAGGTAAGTAAAATAATAGTAGGGAATGGACAGGTGATGACTGGTAGAAAACTGAGAAGATCCAAGGGATCAGAGGAGAGAAAAATCAGTTTGGAATATAAAGTATTGTGCAAAGCAGAAAAGACAGACATTCCAGTAGAGGATGTCTTAGGTGAAGGGACACAAGAGCCTCAAAAGAGGCCTAGACTGTTTCCAAGAGCACTGCCAATGGCAAGGTAGGAACAGGCCTCCGCCTCTATCACAGGAGTTCGAGTTACACTACTTTGAAATTGGATCTCCAAGTGTCCAGTCCCTTGAACCATGGGTTAATAGAAATCTGTTCCTCAGACATGAACTGGACACTGATCTGTACCTGGCCATGAAACAGCAGGCTCAGAAATCCAAACCTACAGGTTTAATAACAAATACCAAAGGAGAAAGAGGCTGAACCTATGAAGCACATGGTTTATTAATTACTTTATACTCTTGCCTCCTCTCCCTAAGTGAAAAGTATTCAGGGTCCTTAGCAAATTTGCTAACCAAAGAAACAAATAGGATCTTTTAAATGTAACAGTAAGAATTTACCATCTTGAAAAATCATGTTTTGTTTAAAAGAAATTCAGCTTGTTTTCTGACCTTTCATCTTCCAAATTTTGAATAATAATATGTTCTTCTTCGAGAACTACTGACACAAAACATGTTGATTTTCATTAAAAAAAAATGAACACAAATCTAGGGTCAAAGCTTGATATTTCATAGAATGCAGTCAACTGCCAGATGCAGGTGTCCCCCACAGGATGCTGAATAAAACTGCCTGGGTCTGGGCTAGCCTCGAGCTCGCAGGGCACAGAGCTTGGATCTGGCTTCCAGATCAAATGAAACCAGGGATGGGAAAGAAAACGGAATCTGTTCTTCCCTGGGGACTGAATCTAAGCCAAGTGTGTGCTATGGTGCCTAACTGAACTGAGAAAGGAGGGTGTGGCAATGGCAGACATGCCGTGTCACCCATGAATCACTCCAACAGTAAAGAAAAGGCAGGGCTCTGGACCTGGAGCAAGACTGCTCGCTACTTGCCTTTAAGTTTGTGATTGTTGTTTTGCTTTTCTCCATTTGAATAATGAACTTGGCCTCCAGGTCTTTCTCCCTGCAACACAAATCATTTGGTATCAGTTAGGAAAGAAAAAATTGTTTAAACACACATATACAAACTTATTTTCTTTATACACTTGAGGTGGTATCTTTAAATGCCATCTGAAGAGCAACACTTGATCATATTCCTCCTAAACCCTCTCTGATATAAACATGAAGGCACACAGATGCCACCATCAAAAACTATGTCTGACAAATAATGTGTTATCAAAACCTAGAAGGATTTCAAACTATAAACCAAAAAGAGTGGTAGAAATGGTAGAAATGATGAAAGGCTGTAACTCATGAAAAAAAGCAGCTCCACCCACCAGATTACAATGAAAAGGACACCTTGTTCCTCCACCCAGGACAAAAACTAAGAAAATACTGCAGGGGTCACACTAGCTGCTACTTTTAGAAACAGCCAGGGTACTACCCCCTCCTCCCACTCCTTTTCATTTCATCCATTCAGGAACTACATTTCCCAGAACATGGAGAACACCGCACACACACACCAAACATAGTTCTCTAGAATAAATGACCATATATCTGAAGAGTGAAGTGCCGTGCTACTGAAAAAAAAAAGGGGGGGGGAAGATCTCACCCAGTGCACACTGTCAAATGGAACACCTGCCTTAAACACAGGTGGAGAAAAGTGTTCATAGAATGCTACCACTTACATGTAAATAAAAAAAGGCTAACCTACAGAAAAGGTTTAAATAGAGAGGACAAGAGGGTAATACAAACTAGATTCCTCTGAATATAATTTGATCTGCAGATCATCTTGAGATTAAAACAATTTACGCAAAATTTTGTTTTAAATAACCTAAAACTCAAAAGTTAGTTGAAGCAAATGAACCTAATTGTGTACCACACTGTTAGAAAATATTTTGAATATAACTCTTTGGGGGTTCAACCATATAATGTAGCAGGATGTATTTTAAGGAGAAAAAAAGAACTATAAAAAATCTTAAACCATTTGCAATCACATTTTGGATGGTAAGTGTCATTATTCTAAAATTTTTATTTGTATGTTGTAGGATAATACAAGGAGTCTTCGAAAACTTTGTCAAATATTAGTACTATGAAAAATAGCTACGCATGAATTTCAAAATGTTTTTGCATCAACAATAACTTGTATTTTCATTCCATTATTTTCATGATTTTTTAAATTACCCTCATACGTGAGTAATTATGTTATTATCATTGAGAACCATTAAGAACCACCCTTGTGTAGTTGAAAGGAAGTATAAGAAAAGAGACTAATGAGATTAAGTAAAAACTCCAAAATCCTGAATCTGAATGGGAAATAGTAGTATGAACTTTGGTTTGTCCACTGAAAAGGCTAAGAATCTCATGCTGAAATTACAGCCTCTAAGTAATAATTGCCACTAAAACAAGTCAAGGGTCCTTGGAAAAATGACTCATCCAAACAACTGAACATCTCCTCACACAAGACAGTAGGCAGTAGGGCTGATACTGATGATTGCTAGGGTTGTAGTGGGCAACTTTTTTTTTTTTTTGAGAAGTTTTTTTGCTTTAGGGCGCATGTGCTCACCAGACAGACAGACAGAGAAACAGAGACAGAAAGCCAGAAATCCCCCCCCAGGGATGGCCACGCTGCAATCCCTTTTCCTCCATTCTCTCAGGATCTTGGGCATGCATGCACATGTGTCCAGTGTGAGTTTAAGACACCGAGTCCGGGACTCAAACTGCAGTTGACAACATGGGAGTCCAGTGACATAGCCATTACGCCAACTGCTGGTCCCAATAGGCAACTTCTAACATAGCCCAGATAATCCCGTCATATCCTGTGTGTTTGCCTCCCTGTCAAGGTGAGCTTACCGAGTGATTTACTTCCGAGGACCAGAACACAAACATCAAGGGCTTGTGCTGATAAAAATTGATCCTCTGTGAGGCTAACTTACATAACAACGCCCTGGGTTCATGTCCAGAGACCTTCCTAAACAAGCTGGTCACACATGTGCCCATGATCTGGGGCTGGCTAAAGCTGGGGGTGGATTATGGCATCAAGACCCTGTTGGGGGTGCCCTCTTTCTTTCTGTCTCACTCTCTCTGTTTCTGTCAATCTCTCTCTCTCTCTCTCTGTACCTGTCTATATCACTCTCACTCTCTTTGTATCTGTCAATATCTCTCTGTCTCTCTCACTAATGGAAGAAATAAACAAACTTAAAAAAAATAAAACTGGGACCAGCAGATGGCATAATGGTTATGTCACTGGATTCCCATGTAGTTGACTGTAGTTTAAGTCCCGGACCAGGCAGTTTAAACTCATGCTGGGTACGGGTACATGCGTATTCAAGATCCCAAGAGAAAAAAATGGAGACAGGATTGTGGTGTCACCATCCTCCATGGAGGGGGTGATTTCTCGCTTTCTGTCTCTCTGTCTCTTGCTGACTTTCTGATGAGTGCACACGCCCTATAGCAAAAACCTCTCTTAAAAAAGAAAAAAAAACAAACAAACAAACAAAAAAACTTAACACTCACTCTAAAAAGTAATAGGAGACAAACTGACTGAAGGACCGTTATGTAGTATGAGTGTCTTTCTATTAGCCACTTCTAGAATCCAAGTTGATGATCCAGACGAATCTCAAAGGGTTCACAACCTCTCTGAAATCATATGGATAGGCATGGGGTAGCAGGAGGGGAGGAGTGGGCAGGTGGCAGGTTCATTGTTCTAAGGGTCAATAGCTTTCCTCAGTTTCTCAAAAAGCTTTGTGGCCCCAAAAGTTAGAAACCCCAACACAGACACTTGTTACTCAAAATGAGCTCTAGAAACTGATAGTACCAGCAGCCCTGGGGGAGCTTGATAGAAATGAGGGACAGGGACCAGCAGTTAGTATAATGGCTATATGTCGCTTAAGAGAGCATGTGCCCTATAACAGAAACCTCTCCAAAAATAAAGAAAAAAAAAGTGAGGGACCTAGGCCAGGTTGGTGACACAGTGGTGATGTGCTATTCAAGCAATGCTGGGTCCACGTAGAAGATCAAGAGTTCCATTCCCCAATTGATCACTGATCTGTAATGGGCTAATCAAGCAATGCTGGGTCCATTTAGAAATCAATGGTTCCAGTCCCCAGCTGACCTATACATGTCAGGCTATGCACAACGCATGAGCATTCACGATCTGTGAAGGTTGGGGGAGTGGAGGATGAAACCCTGCTAAAGGCTTTTGACTCTTTCCTACACTTGTTACTCAAAATGAGCTCTAGAAACTGATAGTACCAGCAGCCCTGGGGGAGCTTGATAGAAATGAGGGACAGGGACCAGCAGTTAGTATAATGGCTATATGTCGCTTAAGAGAGCATGTGCCCTATAACAGAAACCTCTCCAAAAATAAAGAAAAAAAAAGTGAGGGACCTAGGCCAGGTTGGTGACACAGTGGTGATGTGCTATTCAAGCAATGCTGGGTCCACGTAGAAGATCAAGAGTTCCATTCCCCAATTGATCACTGATCTGTAATGGGCTAATCAAGCAATGCTGGGTCCATTTAGAAATCAATGGTTCCAGTCCCCAGCTGACCTATACATGTCAGGCTATGCACAACGCATGAGCATTCACGATCTGTGAAGGTTGGGGGAGTGGAGGATGAAACCCTGCTAAAGGCTTTTGAC